AGGACAGAGATCGTTAAGAAATTGGATGAGCAAAAGAATCGTGCCCCATCAGTAAGCGACATATTTCTTTCCTTTTGAAAAATTCAACATATGAAACTTAAGGATTATTGCGGGAGATTGATATTAAAATATCCTTTTGGAAATGTGCATAAAATAGAGGAGCTTCTCTGGAGAAAGGCCTTCTACGATGTTCTATATATAGCCAAGAAGTTACGGAAAGTAATATTTATAATGTGATATACTCCTGGTAAATGAAAAAATGTACAGTGAAACGTGTATCTTTGATAATAGTCGCGTTCAGCAGACTCAAATGTTGTGGAGCAGATTCGTGAGCGCTCGCTACTATTGGATAATCTAGAAGAATACACCAATAGCAGCGAGTGCCCATAGATCTGCTTCACAATAGTTGTGTCTGCTGAACGCGACCTATGACCTCCACACGTGACGCAAAATATGCTGGTTCACTCTTTAATGTACATTTTATTATTTGTTTTGTTAAGAAGCGTGATAGAGATCGTTAAGAAATTGGATGAGCGAAAGAATCGTGCCCTGTCAGTAAGCGACATATTTCTTTCCTTTTGAAAAATTCAGCATATGAAACTTAAGGATTCTTGCGAGAGATTGATATGAAAAGACTCTTTTGGAAACGTGCATAAAATAGAGGAGCTTCTCTGGAGAAAGGCCTTCTATGTTGTTGTATATACAGCCAAGGAGTTACGAAAGGTAATATTTATAATGTGATATACTCCTGGTATATGAAAAAATGTACAGTGAAACGTGTATCTTTGATAATGGTCGCGTTCAGCAGATTCAATTGTTGTTGAGCAGATTCGTGAGTGTTCGCTGCTATTGGATAATCTAGAAGTATACATCAATAGCAGCGAGTGCTCATAGATCTGCTTCACAACAGTTGAGTCTGCTGAATGCGACCAATGACCTCCACACGTGACGCAAAATATGCTGGTTCACTCTTTCATGTGCATCTTGATATCTTTAATAATTACCTTCACATGTGACGCAAAATATGCCTGTTCACTCTTTAATGTCACATTTAATTCTATCTCGGATACAATTTTCGGCTTATATGCCCAGCTATCCATAATATATTTTTGAGATCAGTGTAATAAACATGCTTATTCACTGTGGTGAAAAATTTTACGATAAATCCTGAGAAGCAGGTTGATGTAATATGCATTTACCCGTAAGAATAAAACGGATTGAATGTGCATATTCGCATCATCAGTAAGAAATGGAAATTGGGTGGCACATTACCTTTACATACAGGTGCAGATAATTATCTTAAGGAATCACAGACTACGTATTGAAGATTGAGATTTAATCAATCGAAACGATAGCTGCTAAAATTCCTTTGTCGTCATTGGCCATATTTCAGTCTTAAATCTCAATCTTCAATGTCGAGTCTGATACCGGTCTAATAAGTTCTGCAAACAGAAATGGATAAGATACGTTTATGTATTTGCAGATAGAAACAGGATGCGTATTTGCATTGGCGGATAGAAATGAATATTATTATATTCACGTATATTTGACCACACAAATCTCTTCCTATGTCGCGAGTCTCTATTCTGTTCCTCGCACATACTCAATCGAGAACTACCAGTCCTTTTCCAAAATCGCATCCACCAGTTCTTCCACGGGAGTCTCTTTCTCAGCTGGTGCCAAACAGTTACGAAATTATATAAATTAATATTACATATTCAACATATGTAATATTAATTTCAAAATATGTAAAATGTAAAAATATGTAATGTATAAATATAAGAAATCTTAATGTAATCTTAATCAAGATATATATTGATAATATTAATATCGATATATATTATATTAATATATATATATATATATATATATATAATGTATAACATATATCATATAATATATAATATATATAAATATTAATATAATATATCTCCTAATATATAAGGTAAAGTCGCTTATTATGGGATAGGTTCCTAATATGAGATAGCAGGGTTTCTGCTAAACTAATAAGCGCATGTGTTTGATTCTATCATGAATCTTTTACTCTTAGCGTGAAACCTCTTTAGTAGAAAATTCATTATTAAATCATGCGTGTAGTCTTTGCAAAAAAAGATTTATGAAATTGAATGTTGTCAAATTTTATTGAGGTTAGTCTTTAAAACTTGTTTTATTATACAAAAATAAACATTAGGTAATGAAATCTGCATGCAGTGATAGACTCACATAAACGTACTCACATACATACATATTGAAAAATTATATAATTATTATGTATAACATTTAAATTCTTTGTTCCTACTTGTATGTAACATAATAAAAGTGTATATAAAAAGTTTATCTTTATTTTTTCCTTAGTTTCTCGTTATGAGATACCACCTCACACAAGAAAACCCTTATATCTCATATTAGGAATCCTTTTTTTGAATAATCAAAATCTGACCATATAGATTATTGACATTTAGATTATTGACATTGATATTTTTGCAGGAAAGTATCCTACATAAATGTTAAAAGCTTAGTAGCGCGCGCGAAGCGCGCGCCTGTTATGTTCTAGTTTTTTTCAAAATACCGTTTACAAAAGTGTATAAATTGGACTTCCGTTTCCGGTGTATCGAAAGTGAGCACGTGAATTTGGGGTTGGCAGAGTGGAGAGTGTGAGTGGAGAGTTAGAGAGGTGTGTGTGAGTGAGAGTGGGTGGAGGTGAAAGAGGAAGTCGAGAGTAGGAAGGGAGAATGTGCGAGTGGAAGGAAAAGGGCTGTATAGAGAGAGGAAGGAGGGAAAGAGAGGTTGAGGTTAGGGGACGTAGCTAGAGTAGAGTGCGAGGAGTGCGAGGGGGGGGTTAACGAGGAGACAGAAAGGAGGGGATAAGTGAGTTCGAGAAAGAGGAATATAAGGTAAAGGCGAAAAGTAAGGTCTGTTCCGGAAGTTTGGTAGGCGTGATAAGAAGCTAGAGAGTGAGAGAGAGGGTGAGAGATAAAGGAAAGGAGAGGGTGAGAGGGAGAGGGTGAAGGGGATGACGGAAAGATTTTGTAAGATAGAGAGGGAGAGGAGGGGGAGCATGGGGGATATAGAAAAGGAAGAGAGAAGGGGAGGATGGAGAGGAGGGAGAGGGGAAGGTAGAGGATGTATTTAGGAGTAGTAAGAAGATGGTAAGATCTCTGGGAGAAAAGGGGGGAGATGGGGGTATGAAAGAATTATTAAAGGAGATGAGGGAGGAAATGAGGGAGTGTTTATTGGGAAAGAGATAAGGGAAGTAGTGGAGGGACAGGAGTGGGTGAAGAAGGGAGTAGAGAGGATGAAAGGAGAGCTGAAGGAGAGGGAGGAAAGGTGGGAGAGGGAAAGAGGGGAAATGGTAGAGAGATTGAAAGAGATGGAAAGGGAATTAGAAGAAATGAGAATAGGGGGAGGGGAGCGGGAAGGGGTGAAGGGAGGAAAAGGAGATAGAGAGGAGATAGGGGAAGGGGAAGGGAGAGAGAGATTGATGAAAAGGATAAGAAGATTAGAGAGAAAGAGCGAATGGAGAGAAAGAGAAGAGAAGAGAAGGAATATTATAATAAAAGGGGTAGAGGGGGAAATGGGGAGATAGAGGGGAAGATAAGACAGATTTTGGGAAGTATAGAGGCGGAGGTAATGGTTGATAAAGTAAAGGAGTTGAAGACTGGTAGGCAGAAGAGGGAATGGATGGGGGTGATAACAATAGGGAGTGTGGGGGGGATAGAAGGGGAAGGGAGGACGTAAAGGACAGGGTTAGGAGGAAGAAGACGAGAGAGGAGGGCAAAGGGGAGAGGATGAGTAGGGAGAGAAGGGAAAGGGAGGCGGGGAGGATATTAGAGAGCAGCGTTCGAAGAGGGGGGGAAGAGGAGAGAGGTGAGAGAAGAAGAGGGGAGGGGAAAGTGGTAAAGATGGCGTTTTGGAATGTGGCGGAGTTGGGAAATAAGGATAAGGATTTTTGGGATAGATTGAAAAGGTGAGATGCGATGGTTTTGATGGAGACGTGGGTGGAGAAAAGGGGAGGGAAGTATTTAAAAGAGAGGTTGCCGGAGGGTTATGTTTGGAGAGTGCAGGAGGCGAAGAGGAAAAATAAGAAAGGAAGGGCAATGGGGGGGGGGTATGCTGTTGGAGAGTAGGAAGGAGTTGTATATGGGAGAAGAGGGTAGAAAGGAAGAAGAGGGGATGGATGGGGGTGATAACAATAGGGAGTGTGGGGGGATAGAAGGGGAAGGGAGGGGGTGATGACAGGGATGTTGAAAGTAGGAAGGAATAGAGTAAGGATGATGGGGGTGTATGTAAATATGGATATGGAAAAGAAGCTGGAGAGTTTGGCGGAATGGATGAAGGGGAAGGAAGAGGGGATAAGAACTGTGATAGGGGGAGATTTTAATGCAAGAACGGGGAGTGAGGGAGGAAGGATAAGGGAAGTAATGGAAGGAGAGGAGGAAGAGAAGAAAAGGTCTAGGGATAGGAAAAACAAGGTTGGGGGTAAATTGGTGGAGTTTATAAGGGAAAGGGGTTGGTCGATATTAAATGGGGATGTAAAAGAGGACGAAGAGGGTAATTGGACGTATACAGAGAGAAGGGGGTGTCAGTGATTGATTATGTGTTGACGAATGAAGAAACGAGGGAAGAGATTGATTATTTGGAGGTGGGGGATGAAATTGACTCGGATTACCATCCCCTGGTTGTGACATGGAAAAGAGGGAGAGAAAAGGGAAAAGGTAAAGGAAAGGAGGGAGGAAGAGCGAGTAGGGGGGTGTGATGAGGAAAGTAAGGTGATATTTAGAGAGAGATTGGGGGGAGTGGAATGGAGGGAGGGAAAGGGGATGGAGTGGATGGAGTGCATGAAGGAAACGGAAGGAAGAGTAAGGGAGATTTTGGGGGTTATAGAGAAGGAGATAGGTAAAGAAAGGAAGGTAAGGGGATGATGGGATAGGGAGTGTAGAGAGAAGAAAGAGAGGGTGAGAAGGGTACTAAGGGAGTGGAGGAAGGGTAATAGGAAGGAAATGGAGTACAGGAAAGAGAAAAGGGAATATAAGGAGTTATGCGAGACAAAAAAGAGGGAAGAGAATGAGAGATGGGAGAGGAAAGTGGAGGGGGCGAGGAATGAGAGTCAGGTGTGGGAAATAGTTAATGGGGAAAGGAAGAGACGGAAAGGGATAAATAAGGGGATAGAGATGAAAGAATGGGAAGGATATTTCAAAGAGTTGTTGGGGGGCGTGGAAGGAAGAATGATAAGGGGAAAAGGTAAAAGGAGAAAGCAGGGGTGGGAAAGGGATCTAAGTAGGGAGGAGATAAGGAGGGCGACGAGAAATCTGAAGGACGGTAAGGCAATGGGGATAGATGGAATTCCGAATAAGGTATGGAAATATGAGGGAGAGATGGAGGAATGGGTCTGGAAGGTGTGTAATGAAATTTGGATGGGGGGGTGGTCAAAGGAATGGAAGGAGGGAGTGGTTGTGCCAGTAAGGAAAAAGGAGCAGGGGGAAGAGGTGAGGGATTATAGGGAGATTTCAATAATGCCGACTTTGTATAAGGTGTATACGGCGGTGCTTTCGGAAAGGTTAAGGGACGAAGTGGAGGTGAAAGGGTTAATTCCATTGAATCAAACGGGCTTTAGGAAGGGGTTGGGGACTATGGATAATATTTATGTTTTGAACTTTTTGGTAAATAGGCAGATAAGGAATAAAGGGGAGAAGTTAATTGCGTTGTTTATTGATTTGAAAGCGGCGTTTGATTCGGTGGATAGGGGGGTTTTGTTGGATGAAATGTGGTGGAGGGGGATAAGGGAAGGGTTGGTAGAGAGGGTGGGGGAGATAATGTAGGAAACAAAGAGTAGAGTCAGGGCAGGGGGGGGATGGGAGAAAGCTTTTGGACGACGAGGGGTGCCTGTCTTACCGTCCAAAAGCTTTCTCCCA